AAAACCTTCTTACCTAAGAGAGACCTATGTCCAGAAGTTGAAGGCTGTTGATGATGATGATGTCAAAAGTAACTGCCGTTTTGTTTGTTTGTTAATATTGTAACAGATATTTAAGTATTAATGACAGAATTATAACAGTCATTGGAGACTTGTACTACTCGTATCTGTTATTAGACATGATTTGTTATAAATAGTTTATATGGCAAGTTTTTTAACTTTTGAATGACGTCACATAGTTTTATGGGTCAAAGAACTTTAAACTTCATTTTTGTTGCGACTCAAGGTTGGTAGTGGATATTTGTGAACTGAATTCTTTTGATTTGATAGTACTGGTTCTAACCCAAAAAACGTAGGAAATATTGAATAAAAAATACACTAAAATAAGTTTCTTAACATTTCTTTGCATTTGTTTTTGGGTATGTCAACGAATAAAAAATAAAACAAGGTCCTCATTTACACCAGTGTATCACATTTATTAGAATTTTAAGTACAAAACGTTATTTAGCGTTACAATACAATTTTCTACTACTACCTTAATTTACGTGACGTAAGCTGTTGCCACTACAATAACTTTATAAATTAAATATTAAAATGGAAAAAAAAGAGACATAAAAGGATAAACAGACTGTAATTAAGATTTAGCAATGGGTAAAATAAAATGTTCTGAGTGCATACGACTTGGGATTTCCACATTTACAATCATTAGTGTACATAAGCATCGTAAAAGTGCAACTCCCTCCTTAAAAACGATCCTCGTCGAGGCCGAAGCTAGTCAGGAATCCCCGAAATATTACGTGAATAATTAATTAATTAAAACGAATACCTTTTTTTCGCAAAGTCATTCGTAAGGACATAAGAGTAGAAGTCCTATATAGATGAAATACATGAAATTATTAATAGGCTATAGGCATGAGATTTCTTGATGATCTTACAATTCCAGCTTCAAGTTTCATATCATTAAAAGATAAACAAACAGAGAAAGTTCTACGTTCAGCTACCGATTATTTCAATATTCGTTAACTGACCTCCTGCTGTTGGTAAAATTTGCAGTTTATAATAATGATTAGGTGATACGAATATTTAGTAATAAGCAGTATTTCAATGATTCGAGAAAGCGCGAATAATACTTCGTTCTTTGTCTTTGTCTAGGTCAATATTAGAATACTCTGGAGCGTAGTGTTATTGTGATGATTAATAACCAAAACAGTGAGTTTTATTTGATAGGCCTTAATAGATCACACACAATTAAAATTCCATTTTAGACGTCAAACTAATACATAATAATATACACTTTTGTTACTAATTCAAAGAGCCATGACAGAAACAAGCGTGTGTTGAATAATAAATATGCATTTATACTAACACTTGCACTTCAAATCATCTTGAAAATTTACGTAATTAATTGTTGATACTACAAGTACTTGTAATATATTTTTACTTGAATAACGTAATTTTGAGACATCAAGCATGAGTTATTAATGGTTTAAACGTTCTTCTATCTAACAAATAACGCACATTTAAAATATTAGACAGAGTAACAGGGACTACTTAATATTAAAGTCAATAGTACCCGCCTACTACATTTTAATATTCACGTTCCTAGATAAATAAAGGAATTAACGCAAACAATAGTTAACATACATTTGAACTACAACATTTTTACCAGGGGTTTCTGGAATCTGGTCGAAATGCCTGTTCTCATCTCTATGCAGGAGCACCTCAGTACTAGATTCTCCCTCTGGACCGCATTTAACGAAGAGAACTCGAATCGTCGATAGCCTGAACATCTGCAATCGGCTTGATCCCTTGGCGTTACGTACAGATGTTGCTTCACTGTGCATTCTCTATCGCATATATCATGGAGAGTGCTCCGAGGAGTTCTTCAGACTAATACCAGCTGCTGCTTTCCGCCACGGCAAAATTTTCATCCCCGTCACCAGGATAATTGGCTCCACCACTGTGCGCTTTTTGAGACACTTTTTGCCCCGTACAACCTATCTGTGGAACGGGTTATCGTCTGCAGTATTTCCGGACCGATACGACCTACAAACCTTCAAGAAAAGAGCGTACTCCTTTCTAAAAAAACGACTGACGTTCATGGGCGACGATGGTCACTTTCCATCAGGTGACCCGTCTGCTCGTCTACCCCCAAAGAAAAAACAATTTAAATGTATGTTATATCAATCGATTGCGTTAATTCTAGTATTGGTAATAATAGTACACGTATATTTTAGTATTAATATGAGTGCTATTTTAGGTAATAAATATATATATAATACGGCATATTATAATTCATAAGGTTAATATTATAATTCCTCGTACTTTCATTCATTCATTTGAACATAAAGAACTTATTCGATTTAAACAATTTATAATACTAGACCATACTAGAGATCTCCTAGATAATTTGTAACACAATGTTGGACAATTTTAGCTTACTGCGCTTCTAGGTATAAATCATCATCATCATCATCATTCATCACAAATCGGTATAAAGTTTTAGTAAAACTTTTGTTTACGAGTATTATTGTTGTCAAGTTTCAATCAAGCTTTTGTAGAATTGTTGACCATCTGTTTTTATTTTGAAAAGTGCATTGTAAAAGATTTTTCTTGGCCATTTAAGTGAGTTCATGGATGGTTTAGATTTATAATTTGATGCGCTAGACGACAGATTATAATTTCTTTTTTTTTACTTTTTTTTTGTTTTACGGTTATTTTATTAAGATTGATTTTGCTTTATTAGTAAAACTAATTATGACAAATAGGATAAAAAGTGATTCAACGTTCGGGCAGAAAAGTCGTTTTGTCCTATTTATAATATGTATTTTGTATTTTGCACTAAAATGGACCACAACATTCAAGTTCACAAATGCAAGTGAATTTGAAGTCCAAATATGGTATGCAACGGCATTTAACTGGATGTGAAATGAGTAATACAATGCATTATATTAATTTTAATACTGACTCATATACTTTAACAATAAATGCAGTATTTATTGAAATGGAGGTTGCTATAGAATTAGTAACTAATTATTTATGTTGTTACTAGAATATAAAATGAAACGAAAATGGTTCTATTTATAAATTTGGGAGTTTTCTCTTTTAAGCCAGGAGTAAGTGATATTTCTACTAAAATCCACTACGAGGGCAAACCTCAGGTACCCTGAAGAAGTCTTAGGGCATATTATTTCAAGGTTGTAGTTTAGTTCTAGTACGATATTCTATACGTATTATTAGTACATATGAAATTGCCCTGACTGACTAACTGATTGGATTACCAATTTGAAAAGTTTGGCAGTTGATGCTATATAAACAGCATCAACTGCCCTGTAAGCACCCACTGGGAAAGATTTTTTAAATTTCATTCCTAAGGGGGTTTAAAAAGTCATTAAAGGTTATCATTTCCAAAGTTAGTAATACGAAATAAGAAATAATCAGGCGAGTAGCGCCGGGTAATATCCAGTATACGTACCTATATATTTGTTTATTAATACATCTTTTTATACACCGCTACGGTATATATTGTGCAGACATGGATGGACATCTACATACATTTTGGTATTACAATAGGCGGTCTTATCGCTCACGGCGATCTCTTACAGACAACCTTTACACGGATATTGGTGCTAATTCTGTTGTTCGAAAACTCTCTAAACTAAGCTAACAATCACTAAAAATTTGTTTAGTCCTGTCAAATAACGTTTGGTATTCTGAAAACGTAATACTTGATAGGACTAAACTAACTTTTAGTGATTTTTAGTTAAGTTTAGAGAGTTTTCGAACAACAGAATTAGCACCATCGTTTACTTTATATAGTAGTAGTTATACAGTTTGTTAGTTTAGAACTGGTTGTACAGTTACATTTCAAAAGAAAAATAACAATGTCAAGGCCATCGAGCGGTCACATCTGACGTATAAATACCGCTATTGTAAAGATGACGCAATGGAATGCAAATTTTATTTTTGTGTGGCAACTCTTATGTGTGGTACTTCTTTTTATGATATTGGGGGCAAACCAGCAGACGATTTACCGGATGGTAAGTGACTACCGCTACACAAGGACGTCTGCGATTTAATAATTGAAAGCGCGTATCCGGTCTAAACTACGGTAAAAGTTTTCTTTTGAATCCTATTGTGTTAGGTACTCATCATACTAAGTACAATAATTGTCTTAGATTTTTTTTATGAAAGAGGGGTCAAACGAGCAGACGGGTCACCTGATGGAAAGTGACTACCTAAAGAAGATTGCATAAAATATGGTACAAAAGAGGATAAGATGATAACACAATACAGGACACATTTTACCATTAAAATAGCATGCATAGATTTGGTTAATAAGGTAAAAGTTATTAATTAACACAATGTATTTCGTAAGAGGAAAGATCAAGAAGTGATCTGTTTAAAAACTCTTTAACAGAATAAAAAATTTGCTCAATTAGCCTTTGCTTCAGTTCAATACAAAATGTATGGCATGGTAAGTTCACAAATCAGGTAATGCGTTGTAAATAAGTGGTGCTATGTACCCACAGCTTGCTCTGAACATCTCTAAAGGTATTTAACATTACATACAGGTCACATTGTTGTCAATCAATAGTACTACTAATAATTTGATTGTATTATATACTACCTAAGAAAGCCATTTATATATTTTTATTTATACACGCAAAGTTTGCCGTTTAGACACCGTATCGATGAAAGGATCAGGTCTTTGGTCGAAATCTGCCTGCTAAAATTATACAAATAAGACTTAAACTTAAAAAATTGCCAAATACAGTAGGTATATGTAAATAGAAAAGCTACGATTATATAAACTGATCAAAAAACTTTGTGCAAAGAAATATGGTTCGAGATATGAATTCAAAGAAAAGCTACGATTATATAAACTGATCAATAAATGGTTCGAGATATGAATTCAAAGAAAAGCTACGATTATATAAACTGATCAATAAACTTTGTGCCAAGAAATATGGTTCGAGATATGAATTCAAACGCAAAAGTAATTATTTTCGTTTTAACGTAGTTTGATATCTAGGTGACGATCGCTGAGAATGAATCCTCGTTAGGAAACTCGGTGTGCAGTCCAGGGAGGAAGAGGTAGGGCGCTGCGGTGACGGTCCAGTCCTACCCTCCAGCCAATGTGTTGTCATCTCACCTTTACCCTATAAAATAAATCTAAATTATTATTATATTTCTTTGATGTTTTTAACTTAACATCATTTAAATTGTTGTGTTTTATTGTTAAAAAATCATAATCTTCTTATGCATGCGTTTATTGGAATAGGATTCTTAGTTATTTTGATAATGACTGTATCGTATCGTTTCATTTATCCTTAAAAGTCTATAATATGAAATGACGTCACAATAGATATAATAATACAATTGTAAAGTGTTTTAAGAAATGACGAGTTGATACTTGGACACTAGTCAATACTAGTAACAAACAAACACATTATGTACTCAGTTAGTTCTTAATTAAAGTTTTACCACCCACTTAGGCATCAAAATTCTGTTTGAAATCAAATTCAGTCATCCTTGAGTCTTGACTAAGCTTCTACATACAATCTTATGATCTATATTAATTATAGACTGTAATTCCCACTGAACAGTAAAATTTAACTGCTCTTTGATAATTCCGGTACCTTCATTTTTTAATGGTGAGTCTTGTATAGTATACTAGTAACTTTCTGCAGCTACACAGTGTAATGGTAGGTGTAGTCATCATTACTATTTACACTACATACATACACAATATAATTTCAAGTATTTCTTAAGACATAGTTTATCGGCTTACTATGTAAACTATGTAAAGTTTTATTTCGACAACTTGGTTGCAAAATACTGTTGTTTTTCTACTTCGATAGACACTTACGGTTTTCACTAACTGATAGTGAAAACCACTTTCAGGAGAATTTAGCAGATGTACGGAGACACGCATAAAGTGACTTTATTTTATACTGCGTAGAGCTCATTATCTCGTACAATGTTATTATTTACCTTGACATCAACTACACCCCTGGGTGATGTAATAAACAAGCCCGTTTTGTCTAAAGCCAACTTAACGTCCTCAGAAATTTGTATTTTCATTGCTGAAACGAATAATCATTATTAAGGAGAGCACTGTACCACAATATTTAAGCAGTTTTAAACGAAGAAAAATAGTTATGATTCAAGAACAGGAGAAAGACAATATTAGACAGCTGATAAACATTATCTATTATATATTTGTCCTCTGTTCCTGGAGTCAGGTTTACTACCCACTAAATAGTAGTCAAACAAAACAGTGATCGTAACCGGTTTACTTACAAATATCACAATAGCAGTGCGGCACTGAATTTTGAAAGAATTTTTATTACGAGAATTGACCTTCTGGACTAAAAATCTTCAATACACCTATTCTAACTTTTAAACTTTCGCGTTCCATGATAATTAATATTATTTAACGGGAATTAACGCGATCTCTTATTTAGGGTATTACATACCTCTGGTTTGCCTGACGTTTCGACCAGGTTGCACCGGCCGTGGTCACAGGCTGACTGGCTCATCGGCGCACGCCCTCCGTCGTCGAATCCGTGAAGTAGAAGGCTCTTCATCTACCCGCACATTTTCGATATTATTTTTGTGTCGCCATGTACCGTCACATACCACACTAACAGTGTCCCTATTCTGTAAGCAAACCGATGAGTCCCTATTCTGGTGTTTAACCGATTGCGCAGAAAAGCGAGGTGGTATGTTTTTTAACACTGGATTCCACGCTGTAGATAATTTAAAACCATCTTCCCGATTGAAAGTTTTATGCTTTTTAATCTCAATCGCTTCACGTACAACTCTTGAGTAAAAGTGACGTTCGGTGGAGAGGACTTGCGTTCGGTGAAATTCAATCCAGTGGTTGATGCCTGCATCGAGTGCATGTTCTGCAATCGCTGATTTGCTCGTCTGTCGGTTCTTCACAGCAGCGATATGCTCTTTGACCCTTTCTGCAATAGTCCGCTTAGTTTGGCCTATGTATGAGCTTCCGCAGCTGCAGTCTATTTTATAAACACCCGGAGTTTGTAGTGGCAATGTATCCTTCGGTGTGCCGACGATGTTGTGAACCTTTATGCCTGGTGTGTATACTGTCGGAATGGAATATTTCTTTAGTACAGACCCGATCTTGTCCGTAACTCCCTTGACATAAGGCATATAGGCCGGTTGCCTGTTCACTTCTGGATACTTGCGTCTTATTTTCGGTTGCTTCCGTCCTCCTTTCACTTGGTATCCGTTACCTTTGAGTACCTCCTGAACATGTTTTAGCTCCTGTTCTAAATGTTCAGGGTCACAGAGATCGTAAGCTCTGTTTTTGAGTGAAGTCATAACAGATTGTAAGTGCCGGGGGTGATGATGAGACGTGGCGTGTAGGTATCTGTCCGTATGAGTAGGTTTACGGTACACACAGTGTGACAAGGACCCATCCGATCTCACGGCTACTTTAACATCTAAGAAGGACAACGACCTGTCTGTCTCCATTTCATATGTAAACCTCATTTTGGGGTGAATAGAGTTCAGATGTTGTATATATTGATCCACTTCTTGTTTGTTTCCTTTGACGATACTGAAGATGTCATCCACGTATCGCTTCCATAGCTTAACGGTATTCGGGCCGAGATTTAAAGCCTTCTCTTCAAAATGTTCCATCCAGATGTTGGCCAGTACTGGGGCTACAGGACTTCCCATCGCGACACCATCAATCTGGAGGTAATGTTGACCTTGGAAAAGGAAATAGTTGCCTTCTAAACAGTGTTCAAGTAGATCCATATAGTTTAAGGGCAGCTCGTTGTCTCTCAGTAGGTCTTTTACGACGTTTAGGCACTCCTTTATTGGAACATTGGTGAAAAGCGACTCCACGTCAAAGCTCACCATGACGTCATCCGGTTCCAACGTCCAAAGGCTTGTGTATCTTAGGCAGACCATATAATTTCGGTGGCTGGTGTGACTTTGGTTTGTACAGTCTGTTGTACTCGTCTTCTGAAAATAGGTCCTCATTGTCCCGGATTAGAGATCGTATTTTTCGCGTTACTCTGGCCGTGGGGTTGTATGTTACCGGTTTATAAACCTTATTATCACTCAACAGTTCAAGTATTTTGCTTTTGTAATCAGTTGTATTCATCACTACGGTAGCGTTTCCCTTGTCGGCCTTAAGCACTAAAATATCCTGGTTATCCCTAATGTTTTTTAGTGCTTGACGCTCTTCGATAGTGATATTACTAGCCGGAAGCTTTGACCGACGTAATATTACCGCAACGTCCTGTCTTAGGATATCGGCATCGGTATGTAATACCCTAAATAAGAGATCGCGTTAATTCCCGTTAAATAATATTAATAATACACCTATTATTGTTTAAATGTATTTGGACTACGCCGTACACATCTGTGATGTTTAATTTTAAGAAATTACACTCACGTTCACCAGTGCTCTCCATCCTACTAGCTGTATTGATGGTGTCCCCAAATAAACAGTATCGAGGCATTTTGCTCCCCACTATGCCAGCAACGCAGGGCCCCATGTGTATGCCACTCCTCATACACAAGGTCTGTAATAAAATGTTAAAACAATAAGAGTTTAAAAGACAAGTTCAGTAAATTCCTTTTATCGGTTTGGAGATTTTACTTTATTTGTATTATTTTTTATGGTAGGGCGCATACGAGCAGACAGGTTACGTGATGGTAAGCGACTACCGCCGCAAATGGATGCCTGCAACACAAGAGTCACAGAGTGCGTTTCCGCTTTCCCTCCCAGAAACAGGAAAAGGTTACTCTTAGTAGAGTAACCAAACACATTATTCAGAAAAAATCTTGCACTGGACAACGTAAAGTAACATTTAATATCTATCTACATTGAATTCAATTTCTTAGACGCTTTCTTTTTTAGATAGTAGTTTATAACTTCAAAAACGTCCCGCACATAAAATGCATATCAAACTTAGCATATTACACATAGCTAATCTCACAGTTACTAGTAAATCCGGGATGGAAACTAACTCTGACATTAAAATAATTAAAAATACATAAAAGCGAATTTAGAACCTACCTCCTTCTTTTTATAAGTCGGTTAAAAATGAGCGTCAAAGAAAAAAGAGAAGCAAGAAAATGCTATTTTGCTATAAGTTTTGATGATTAGCTGCTATTGGCTACATTTCACGTCATATTAGGAATGACGAATCACAAAACTGCTGTATTCGCGCTTGACTACAGGTACATACTTACTAAACCAAAAATTACTAGACTTACTAGAACACTTCTAATAGACATTCAAAACAATTACACACATAATTTGTACTCAAATGTATTAGACTAATAATGACTATTAATTTAAATATTTTTATACACAGTCAGATACACCTACTACTGTTAGTATAGATTTAAATTGAGTTCATTCTTGAATCCATTTATTACAACATAAACAGGTCGCATTCAATACGTTATGCAAATTGCTATTTCCGTTTGTGCATCCGTTTATAGCCTTATACGATGAATTTAAAAGCTTGACGAACAGTTTTGGTATTTAGGTTAAAAGCGTATAATAAAAATACCTTCAGACATCTCACACCATCTGATGTCAATCTAGACAGAGCCTGTACCATGGTAACCAGACTGTTGAAAAACTTATTTAAATATTTTAAAACTAAAAAAGAATTCTTTCAGTCATCCTAGCTTTCATAGTACAAGCTCTGTTTAGTTTGAAACTATTATTATTAATATTATTTCCAAATACAGTCATTTTTTAGGTAAATAACACCCAGACACAGAACAAACGATCGTGTTCATCATATAATCAGTTGTCCTGAGTGGGAATCGAACCTATGACCTCTGGATTAGCAGTTAGGGTCACAACAGGGTCAAACACTAAGCCAAGAAGCTTGTTATTCTGTATACTCGTAGTAGAGATCGCTTGGCGATCACATTTCGATCACTTTGATATCCTTATTTCATTTCATTGTCCTTTATAACTAGAATTATATTATCATTGTATAGATGTTTGTATCATGACAGATCAAAATGGACTGCCTAATCATTTAGCCTAATCTACCATCTAGCTTTATATTATATAGCCGTTTTCACATCATTTCTTTCAAGCACATACTGTTTAAAATTATAGCTTCTACTTTACATTAAGTATTCTAAATATTATAATCAGTTTCAAATGCGGTAGAAAGAGTATTCTTCACGTATTAATATATAGATAATATCCATACTAATATTATAAATGCGAAAGTGTTTTTGTCTGTCTATCTATTTGTCTGTCTGACTGTTACCTCTTCACGCTTAAACCGTTGAACCGATTTAGATGAAATTTTGTATAGAGATAGTCTGAGTTCCGAGAAAGGACATAGGATAGTTTTGATTACAGAAATCATCATTAAAGGGGGTGAGAGGAGAGGGGGGAGTTTGAATTGGGGAATCAATAACCGCTGCACCGATTGAGATGAAATTGGGTATGGAGATATTTTGATTCTTGAGAAAGGACATAAGCGATAACCGACATACACGCGGGCGGAGTCGGGGCCATAAGCTTGTAATTTATAAGCACATCTTAGCTATACGTATAAAATAATTAAACACTGAACGAAATAAAGTATTTTCTACAAAGAAGTTTTAAAAACTATAAAGTTTTCCAACCGCCAAAGGTGATGTATAGTAAACGAAGCAAAGACACAGACATATTATTACCTAACCAAGTACCTGATCTGGTCGATGCGGGAGTCTGCATGAAGATGTCGCTTCTAGCAACTCCAAAGCCATATTCGCTATTTCTGTGGCGTGCTTATTACCTTGAAACGTTTAAGTATGCAAATGTAGACGGATATATTCTAGCAAATATTCCTCAAACTTAGAAATACGAGTATATGTATGAAAAAAAAACAAGAAGGAAAGAAACACTTAACAAAACGATATGTGGTGGCGGATTAAGAATACGAAGTGTCATCGGTGTCATAAGAGCCGACTAACGAACAAAACTCTGCAGGACAACAGCACTGCAAAGAGAAGGAAAACTTGACACAAACTCTATGCCAACCCGTCTGGCCAGAGTGGTATAGTAGGCCAAAACCTCCTTTCTGAGGATAGGCCTATGTCCAGCAGTGGACTATTAAAGGCTGTTGATGATGAACTAACGTTAATTTAGTCACTCATGTTTGTCAAATGGTAAATGGTACAGATTACTATATATTATTCTGTGCTATTTGCATTTATTCAAAGCAGGTGGGATTATTTTTAGTGAACTATTAAAGGCTGAATATAGGCCTCTCCATATTAAGGACGTTTTGGCCTACCATACCAAGCCGTTTTTCTTTTCTTTGCAGTGCTTTTGTCTTGCGTAGTTAGCTACCTTCGGCTTTTACGACACCCACGGGATGAATAGGGGTGGCGACACTCCGTATTTTCAATCCGTCACCACACGGATGAGTACGTTTGTTAAAAGTTTTTATACACAAACCATATGAATTTCCTCTTGAGACTACCATTTTGCATTAGTATATTTCAGGAAAAAAAATACTTACTCCCATCTTGGGGTCCAGCCGTCTAGAGAGAGTTTGTTTTACATTAAATTGCTTAGTGTTTTCCCATTTTGGGGATCGAACCCACATCACTACACCCGCAGTTAAAAGTTTAGAGGTGACTGATTACACCACTACACCATCTGTGCAGTCCCTACTGTTGTCACTACTGAGTTTACATTATCTATAAACTATCTAAAGCACAGCTAATATTAGATGTCAAAAATATCGATTAAACTCTAATATAAATCTAATAATATAACAAATCAATTACCGTTTCTAACCGGCAATCCAGATGCAACCATGTACGAGTCCCCGATCGTTTCAATTTTATAAACATCATAGCACTCAATCTTTTCGTCGAATAACTTGTACACCGAGTTCAGGAAACTGATGACCTGTAATATATATAAATAGTACTTAGTAAGTATACTTTGACGTTTTACGATAATATATTTATGTACACAGTACACGGGAATTAATAGTCTGATTCAGCCTGTGACCTAGGCTAGTGTAACCTGAATGCGATAAATAAAGGCGATCATTTACTTAATAGGCATTACATACCTTTTGTTTTTCCTGGCGTTTAGACCTAAAGGCCAATTCTCGTAATAAAAGTTAGGTCACAATTCAGTTTCGATCTCACAACTGTCATAAAAGGTATTTTCGTAGTAAAGTATTAAACATCCAACATTGACTGTATTGTAATCGAAAATTGAATCTTTAATCTGCTATGCTTGGTAATACTATATGAAAATATCTTTTTACAGCTGTCAGATCGAAAGTTGATCGGAGCTGAATTGTGACCGAACTTTTATTAGCGAAATTGGCCTTCAGGACTACACGTAAGGGAAAACAAAGGCATGTGATGCCTATTAAGTAAACGATCGCGTTTATATCCATCAATGACAGTATATTACTTAATATTTAGTAAATGCTAGGCACTTCGATCCTTTTGGAGTTGAAGGCGTACTACAAATTACCAATGACAACAATCGCAATTTAAGTCATTATAAAATAAAATTTTAAGTTTAAGTAAAATTTCAATAATTATTGTTTAATAACATTACCTGATAAGGTGTAGACACTGCTGCAATGGCTGTAAAGCCTACAATATCACTGAAATAAACAGTGACAGACGAGAAAAACTCTGCAGGTACCTGAAATGAACAGAAAAGAAATGAAATGTACGAAATTAAATTTCATAAAAAATAAGATTAAAAAATGATGTTAATTCTAATACATTATAGTTTAAAAAAACGAAATAATAAGTTTTTGTATCTAGCCGAACTAAAAAGTAGAAAATAATTGTCTATAAGTTCAAAAAGAAAAATCATTTTATCTTAAAAACTCGTGATTTGCGTAAGGTCTCAATTGTTGTAAAAATATTTTATTGACAAGTATTGGTGAAAGTAAAGTTATTACATTATAAAACTAGCTGCTATCCCCGACTTTATTCGTGTAGAATTTGAAAATCGCTGCTATAGTGGTGTAGTACGATACTCGTCTGCAGTCCATGAGCCCTCGGGTCCGATTCAAGGACCGGGCAAAATTTCTGACTAGAAAAAACCCTATAAAGTTTCTTATAATAATAATATTTCAGTACCAGATAGGTGTCTATAAGATAGACAGCTTTCTGGTAGTAAAATATTATCAAAATCGGTCCTACCAGAGAAACTATATTTAAACTGGTTTTTAGGCATAGGTCAGTATGAAAGAAACCTATTATTTTAACATTACAAACAAACACTTCAATTTTATTTAATTGTATAGATATCTTGAAAACCACCCCACGCTTTTTTACGATAAAATGATTTTCTTTTTTTTTTTAGTTTGGCTAGTTACAAAAGCGTATTTTTTAGTTTTTTTAAACTATAACAATAATTTATTGGTTTTTTAGTCATTAATCATGATTATTTTCTCATTGAGACTAAAAAAGTAACTAGTAAATAAGTCACATAATATATGTCTCAGCACACGCACGCAGCAAAAGACACTACCGTATTTTTAGGTATGGAAAAAGCCGTTAATCCTAAAGATCCAAAAAGGAAAATCAGTCAAATTTATCAAATTATTGTATTGTCATCGGTCTTTGACAAGTGTGCGAATTTTAATTTAATTCACATCATACATGATTGTATTGTAACAAACAAAACATCGGAACCTCTTTATATTGTAATAACAATTATTGTTACATAACAATTATCATATTAACTGCAACAAGGTCAATGGACTGCGATAAAACGTAGTAGGTAGGTATACTACTCGTATAACTATAAATATACGCCGAGATAGTCCGGCAGCCATATTGTTACGTATAGTGACGATTAACTGCTATCAATATCATTGAACTGAAGTCTGTATAGTGTATGGCCTTGTCTACGGTGTTACGACGTGTTGAACAACATAATATAATAATGTATCTATGCTAATATTATAAAGCTGAAGAGTTTGTTTGTTTGAACGCGCTAATCTCAGGAACTACTAGTCCGATTTAAAAAATTCTTTCAATGTTAGATAGCCCATTTATCGAGGAAGGCTATAGGCTATATATCATCACGCTAAGACCAATAGGAGCGGTGCACCAATGAAGAATGTTTCAAAAACGGAGAAAATTTATTACTATTGAGAGACGCAGACTAAGTTGCGCGGGTCTGCTAGTATATAAATAAAGATACTCTCAACTATATGTATTTTTAGTTCTCATGATTCATTTAGAATCATCTCTTATTCTAGTATACTGCTAATTGAGTGGTTTCCAATGGTCAAACGGATAAAAAATCGAATGGTAAATCTAAATTCCTCTAGGATGACAAAAATGTTTTATAATTTTTAATTACGAAACTGATATTAAAAGTGAATGTGTTTTAAGGCAATCTCAGAACAATATTTAAAACTTTGCTACGGTTATTCCCCTGATTACGCTACGTGTCTTAACAGGTTTATAAAACAAATTAGGGAGTTTCCCCAAAATATATTTCATACTTCTTTTTAGTCTAGTTTAAAACCAGATTTATAGCATATTTATTTTTCTTGTATGGATAAGGTTACTTTTATGATATTATTGAAATTTGTTTCTATCAGGCTGTGGGCATTAGGACTTTTTTTTTATGTTAGAGGGGGCAGACGAGCAGACGGGTCACCTGATGGAAGGTGACCATCGCCGCCCATGAACGTCTGCAACTCAAGAGTCACAAACGCGTTGCCGGCCTTTTAGGAAGGAGTACGCTTTACTGTAAAACATAGATCTATGTTCGTAAACAATTAATGGGGAAGGTAACACAGTTAAAATGTCCTTTACCCCGGGGTAAATAACTCCAGTTATGTTCTGTTACTACTCCAATACAAACAATAAAAAAAAAAACAAATTTCAACTCAAACTTGCATTATATATAACAATTGCATTCCATAAAAATAATTTGTCTGTGTTCGTAAGCTACCCATCTTGAGAAGTACTGCATTTCCACGGTTTTTTCCCAGGTAGAGTCGTAGGGGTGGGGGGTTATCTTTAAAAGTATTTTGTTAATTAAATCTGAAAACAAATTTCATTTCCTAATACACCATCTGCGAATCGAGGCTCTGAAGGGCACAACTGAGAAGAAAGAATTTCTCGTTGGCTCTATTTTCCCTTAATCAATATTCACAAGTTTTAACAAGATTGTAAAGCTTCCCCGGGAAACTTTATGGGAATTTGAAAAGAGAAAAATGAATGGTACTCGTAAATTACTTATGGCAAATTTAAATGGTTTTAGTTTGTATAATGTTAACGTATTATATTTTTTGTGAATGTTTTTATTTTATGCTGGTAACAGATTTTCTTTTATAGTGTACTAGATTTTGCCAGCGGCTCCGCCGGCGCGCATAAATATCGGTTATCGCTATAAAAAGTAGCATAAATATTTCATCAAAAATCAAAGTATCTCCATACAAAATTTCACCTAAATCGGTTCAGCGGTTTTTGATTTCCCATACAAACTTCTTTTCAACACCTCAAATATATGATTTCTGGGATAAAAACTACCCCATGTCCTTTGCCGGGACTCAAACTATCGCTATACCAAATTTCATCTAAATCGGTTGAGCGGTTTAAGCGCGAAGAGTTAACAGACAGACAGACAAACTGAAAGACAAACATACAGACAAACACACTTTTGCATTTATAATAATAATAAGAATAATATATAGCATAGTATATAGTATAGTATATAGTGTATGAAGGGCGCAAACGCAGGTATAGGTTACCACCGGCAATATATAGCTGCAACTTTAGAGACACAACTATATTGCCTTTCTTTAAGTGCCCCAGGGAGGTTGGGCCTCCGTTGACCACACTGATTCGATTTGCTTGACACCGATTTTATTTAAGGCCATGGCATCTGGTCAAACCGTCCCATATTTGCTAAAGGACTTGTTATACTAAATTATATAATAGGCGGCTGTCTTCCAACTCACTTGATGGCAAGTCATAATAAATGAGGAGATGGGACACGCCTAATCTAGATTCATCTCTTATAATAGTGAGAAATTGTGAAGATTTATAATTGTGTAAATATATGTACAGAATTTTGTATATGTACGTAATACATCATCATCATCAACAGCCTTTAACAGTCCACTGCTGGACATAGGCCTCTCCTTAGAAAGGAGGTTTTGGCCTACTATACCACGCTGGCCAGACGGGTTGGTATAGGGTTTGTGTCAAGTTTTCCTTCTCTCTGCAGTGCTGGTGTCCTGCGTATTTCGCTCCCTTAGTCGCCTCTTACATACATACTTATGAATTGCTTAACTTTTGAGCAGATTGCACTGATCACACGGTGAGTGAGTCTGCCCTCTAGCCGCGGTCATACGCCGAGTGAGTCAGCTCTGACCACAGTCAATGGAACCGATATTACGTGATTCTCGTTAATTTTCGTACTTATGTATGATTGACATAGTGATAAAGAGTGAAGATTTTTCTTTATCAATGTTTTACATACGTGCCAGGTCTTCCCATGTCTGCCTTTGACTAGACTGTAGGGGTTAGTGAGCCTGACTGCTAAGCCAAAGTCATGGCTGTGATTGCCACCCAGTACAAATTATGGAGTCGTACGATTATTTGTTCTATGTTTGGGTGTGATTTATCTATAATTATCAATACGTTTAGAACTGTCTCCAAAGGAATTTTGGTGAAACAATCACTAGCTGCTTTGCTATTTAAAAAGTTGAAAGGTTATTGCACCAAAAATATATGTCAATGGAAACATGTATATCAAAATTCGTACTAATTCTTATGAGTTTACAGATTTTTTCGCAGCTATTATTCATACACATTACAAGTTAACTAAATATAATTTTTATTTTATATTTTAGCCTGTATGTCCAAATGCAGGACAAATGCCTAAATATAATAAAATAATAAAATTAAATATATTATTAGTAATTAAATATTAATCTAAAAGTACTTTGAACTGCTGTCACTTCTACCTGAATATTGGCCTTCAACTCGTCTTTTGTCTTTCAGAAGAATATCTTGCGGCAACCGCCAAGTTACAATTTCGCTTATTTGTTCTAGACGTAACTGGCGCGGGAATCCCTAGCACTTCCTATCATTATATCATCAATTTACTGACTTGAGTATGTTGTAGAACATAAAGTAATAAACAAATAAAATAAAACATGTTGTATTTTACCACGGGTCAAGTCGTCTACTACAGTCTTATTTTTTATATAATATTTTACATATTAATTACTTTTAGAGTAAAATTTTGTAAAAAAAATAATGTTACGTTCCAATTAAGTTCACATCACACATCACATCCACAGCCTTTAATAGTCCACTGCTGGACATAGGCCTCTCCTTAGAAAGGAGGTTTAGGCCTACTCGCTGGCATGACGGGTTGGTATAGGGTTTGTGTCAAGTTTATTGAGGAAGTCGGGACGGCCTGCCGATTCGGTCGCGGCCTACAGGCCCATCGTATTGCTGGACGAGGCGGGTAAATTGTTTGAGAGAATCCTCTCTGCCCGCATCGTCCGGCACCTCTGCGAGGCACCCCGATTTGTCGGACGCCCAATTCGGTTTTCGAGCGGGGCGTTCGACGATCGACGCTGTGTCGCGCCTCAGGACCGTAGCCGAAGAGGCGGTGAGCCGTGGCGGCGTGCTGTTGGCGGTGTCGTTGGACATCGCCAACGCATTCAACAGTCTGCCATTCAGCTGCATCAGAGAAACACTCCACTATCATGGGGTGCCAGAGTAATTGAGGCGGCTAGTGGCAGACTACTTAAAGGAGCGTACCGTCATGTACGAGGACCAAAATGGTGCTTTGAGGCGTCGGCCCATGTCGTGCAGTTTTCCGCAGGGGTCTGTTCTCGGACCACTCTTGTGGAACATTGGTTACGACTGGGTCCTTCGAGGTCGCCTCCCCCCCGGGCTGGGCGTTAATTGTTACGCCGATGACACGCTAGTTATACGCCACACGTTTAGCTACCAGGGGAGCCTCTCTGGTGGTCGGGCGTATTGAGGTGCTGGGCTTACGGGTGGCCCTGGACAAGAATTAGGCCCTATTGTTCCATGGGCCCCGTCGTTGTCCGCCCCCAGGCGCCTCCATCGTGGTCGATTCGGTCCTCGTGCCGGTTACGAATCAGGCTCAGATACTTCATCTGGGCCTGATTCTTGACGGGAGGTGGCTCTTCGACGAGCACTTCCGGATCTCTCGCTACCGGCCGTCATATGCTCCATGTCCGGTAGTGACAGATGTTTTACCGCGGTCGCATCCTTCTGCGAAAACGTCATCTCGCAGAAGGAGGCGGCGAAAAGGGCCCGGGAGGATGACCTCCACTCGGACCCATTTCGCCGCCGGCGAACCGGGCGGCGGAGGCGCGCTTACCAGCGCCTAATGCCGCCTTGAGTGTGGCTGCGTGTGGACGGGACGTCACCTAAATTGAGAATGTACACGAATGCATAATTGCGGGCAGGCGCTAGGAGGGGTCCGGATGTCTTAATAACAGCAGTTCCCGGATAAAAAAAAGGGGTTTGTGTCAAGTTTTTCTTCTCTTCGCAATGCTGTTGTGCGGCGTAGTTTGCTCCCTTAATCGGCTCTTACGACACCCATGGGTGGTGGTGTAATAAGGGTGGTGAAACTCCGTATTCTTAATCCGTCACCATACGGATAGACACCAATTAAGTTAGTCTACCGTAAATATACATCATTGGTAGTTTCCTCTTCTTTTAATAATCTTAATAACAATTTTGAATTAAAAAGACAAACGAGCAGACAGGCCACCCGATGGAAAGTGACTACCGCCGCCCATGATCGCCTGCAAGTCAGGAGTCATAAGAGCGTTGCCGGCCTTTTAGGAAGGAGTACGCTCTTTACTTGAGGGGTTGAAGGTCGACTTGTGCCACAGATTGGTTGTACGAGGCAAAAAGTATTTTATAAAGCGCACAGTGTAAAAGTAAATATTTGATACCTGTAAACACTTATGTATTACACAATCGTAATATCTTTAAAGTATTAACAAAGATCAACAGAGTGAATTTTAATTTACAAAACGAGAACAGAATGAAAAGCATTGACCATACAATATGTTTTACTATCTAATCAAATAATTTGTTAGGTATGTGGAAGACTTACACTTATTTATGACATAAATTGGAAAAAAAAGAAACGGTCGCCAGACATTGATTTCTCATGTCAGTGTCATACGATAATGACACATCGTGAAGGCACGAGAATAAGTTTTTTACGTATAAAAGACGTTACCCTATTCGAATTTTAAATTGCTTTTTATATGATTCCTTTTTATTTTATGAACGTTATTTTTGTTATATTTTGTGTTTTATTGTTTTTTTATTTTACTTAATACCTAAACCAATTTATGGAAAATGTAGTGTATAAACATAAACTTTGCCAAAATAAAATGAAGATTTAGGTATATTGTGCAATTCTAATGAAATATTGAGGGTCAATGACGCAATTTTGAAAACCAAAATTGCACCAGCATTACGCGATTGCTTTGTTTTAACATCTCATACTAAAAATGCGCTATCTTCAAGTGACAGGTACGATATCAAAGAATATAAGAATACATTATGCATAAATATATTTTATAATGTATTGTTAAATGTTTAGTTTAGTTAACCAGCTTTATTTGTATAGAGTAATTTTGATTTTTTTTAAAAACTTGGAAACGCTGATGTTATTACTATAATAGTAGCCTCTATGGCTGTCTTACGACCATCTGTGGCAATTGGTACGGGTATTTGGAGCCCTAAAAAGTGCGAGAAAAGACCTTCTACTGAACTTCGACATCGCCTAGTACTTGGGTTGTGGAGGTCTCATGGCAGTCGCTTCACCTAAAACATCGAAGTTCAGCCGTGTCGTAGTAGACTTAAAGCTGAGCCCAACCTAGTTTGGAAAAAAGGCTCGAAGAAAAAACTAGCCTCTTGGGCAGCGGTGTTCAGTTGCTGTAATTATCAGTTGACCCGTCTTTTCGTTTCATATCAACAGCCTTTCACAGTCCACTGCTGGACACAAGCCTCTCCTTAGAAAGGAGGTTTAGGCGTACTATACCTCGCTGGCCAGACGCGTTGGTATAGGTTTTGTGTCAAGATTTCGTTCTCTCTGCAGTCTGCGTAGCTTTTTTCCTTAGTCGGTCCTTACGACACCCACGGGATGAATAGGGGTCTGTTCGTTTGCATCTTGTAAAATAAACGGTACAGTTAAGAGTACAATAAAGTATCCTTCTATATTGAAAAGTGGTTTAAACTAAGCGTAGAAACCAAAGGAGCGATTATTGCAGCGTCTCAGTGATCCAACACGTCATGTGTCTAAGTATATCACGGGTACTTTACCCTCTAGTTATTAATTTATCCTGTGACTAAACAAGAATATGTTACATCATACATTTTACGTAATAAGTATGTAGGTACTTTTTACTAACATCATTTGTGTATTCTGAATTATTAAGATGTCTCATGCACAAATTTCAATAGACCAATAGTATTCGTTTCCTTTTTTAAACTGTACAAAGTATACATAAAGATTTTTTTGGTAGGGTAATAATTTAGGCTAGTTGTATATTAATAATAGTTATAATAATAATTTATTGCATAAATTTAACCATACAATAAGTAGAGAACACACAGTTAATTAGGTGGGCTAAATGCTCCTAGAAGCCTGTGAACGCCCCAGGAGGCTTTTGCGCTTCTGGAAGGAGCTTGGTTGGCTCACCTAGCCAACCTGTCCTCGACATATAAAGGACCACTCTTGAGTCTAAATGCGGCAACCGGAGTCCACCACCAATACCAATAGGTTGGCTAAATACATAAATATGCATAAAAGTAAATCAAAACACCTAAAATTCGTATCCTGGACGTATTATCAATCGTAGCTGTTATTTTTAGACCTCGTTTTAAATTTTACGAATTTACTAACTTTTAAATTCATCTTTCAAAAGTGGGTGTCGTAAGAGCCTTCGAAGGTTGCAAACTACGCAGGACAACAGCACTGCAAAGAAAACTAAAACTTGAAACAAACCATATAATAAAACCCGCCTAGCCATCATGATATAGTAGGCCAAAACCAGAAAGAAAGGAAGGAAAGGAGAGGCTTAGGACCAGCAGTGTGTGTGTGTGTAATCTGTTTATCTTAAAAAAGAAACACAAATCAGAGCACTTAATACACTCAACTCGATTAAACTCAGATCTATTTGCATAGAATATACTTCTATATATATAGTGAGACAACGATTTCTTGCCCAAGGTCACTGGCATACACTTGTGTAAAGATTGGTTAAATTGACTAACCTGTTGTGTTTGTTTCAATTGCTTAGCAACGCTCGGTGGCAGCATTTGATATAATAGGGAGTCACTTAACTCCTTCTCATACTCGAGTTCTCTCGCCTTTTCAGCTAAATTCCTAGCGTACACCTGAAAACATATAGTTTTTTTTTTATTATTGACAACTCTCGCACTAGGAATACATCTTTACAAACATTCATGAAACGGACACAAAGAACACCCAGACTCAGAACAAGAATTTGTGATTCACACAGTGTGGTCCCATGTGAATCCCAGTGGAAAGCGGCGAGGTGACCGCTTTAAATACTACCTACGCCATCTGTGCCGTCGAAGTTTAAAGTACAGACTAGGGAGGAGCTATTAGAGAGCTTAAGACAAGATTTCAACATGATTTAACGATTGAATTTGCTAGTGACTTAGTCACTTATGACATCAGTTAATGCAGTATCGAATATAGATAAGTCCTTGTTAAGCAACGCGTACATTATATTCTCATGACATTAGAAAATGTAACTTATAACCATAGTCCGAACCCCTTTCGCTTGATTCTTGGAAACTAGACGGTTGGTCATCCACTTGTGGATATTGAGCTGCAGGTGACCACACTGCTCGTTTGCCCTTCTATACAATAAAAATATATATCTATGCAAGTAAATAAAATTTAAGTGTGTTTGTCATGTCAGAATAATAGATTTTTTCATGCTCACACGATTATTTGCACGATACCTATGCCTAAAACCCAGTTTCAATATGTTTCATGTTTCAAAACAGCTGCACTGATTTTGATAATATTTTACTACCAGATAGCTGTCTATATAAAGAGTAACTTAGACTATTTTTCCTCTCAGAAAAACCCTATAAAATTTCACCGGTCCGGGAATCGAACCCGTGCCCTCTTGAACAGCGTAATAAATGTCATGAAATGAAAGTCGCGTACCATACTACACCGCTAAAGCACGCTAACATTTTCAATTCATATTCTTCGCGAACAAAGCTAGTATACATTATATAAATTTTATTTTCAACTGAAATGTTATAAACCTTCTGGCCTTTGTTTTTATAGTAGGAAAACAATATCTTTATTCGATACATCGTTTTGGTTCGTTACACACAGCACTTTTATTTTACATTACAAAAAGCCCCGGGAATTCCCTGAATCATGCCTTGCTTGAGGTAAAATTGTCATAATTCGTGGTCACATAAAAGATTTGTCAGATTATACAGTATATTTTTTGTTTTGAATCAGCGCATTTACTGCCCTATATTTCCGATTGCGTAACTTAGAACACAAAGTGAACAAGCCCCTGAACTGCAACTGACTTTTTTGTATAAATAAGCTGGGAAAAGGACACGGACATCGTACACACATATTTAAATCGCCAACGGCTTTCTTTTTGCCTTATATACCATTTATATGTATATGGATAGGGATCAAAAAACATCTTTAAGTCATAGAGTTATGACACATTTTAAATCAATCAAATCAAAAATAATGACATTCTTAAGTCATAGTAAGCAAATCTTTTGTTTATTTTTTTCGCTTGGAATGCTGCACATTCTTAAAAACGTTGAAGATCAACCATATTCTTGCGTCATATTACTCAACATACTTCCAATCGTCTAGACTTGCTATACGTTTTTTGCATAAACTTTTTAAAATTCAACACAGAATCTACTTACGAAACGTGTAGGCGGCGAGCCGCGGCCTTGGGGAATGCCCCTTCGGCATGAATGAATGAGTAAAGCGTAGGGTATTGACCTTACGTTTAACTGTTACGTAAGTTTTATCACCAGTAATTATGTTTGTTGCTATATTTATCGTACTGTTGCTTTCTATAATAGTCTATGAAAGATTTTTTTCTTTGCAGATAGAACCTAGGCAAAGGTATGCATTAATATGATGAACTTGATGGTAATGAGTAGACTTGCAACGAATATTCGGTTACTACTCGTATTCGGTATTCGGCCTATTCGGCTGCTTTTATTATATTCGGCCGAATACCGAATATCTACATATTATTCGGCCGAATACCGAATACTTAAATAATATATTTTGTCATTGAGAAATAATTGGTAAAATAAAAAATTAAAATCGATTGATTACGTATATATTAATATTTTCATTTCTGTTATAATCATTTAAGTAGTCATTGGTGCATAACACAGGTACATAAATCATCTTCTGAATTGGAAAAATGGAGGATTCTATGTATTTAAATTATTGTGGTAATCAAAATTTAGAAGGGTAAGGTTCTCATTTCTTTAATAATCATTTATTAAGTAGTCATTGGTACATAAAACAGGTACATAATTTAATTCACGTCTGTACAAGTTTTTGGCGCTAAAATCCAGCCGAATACTTTTGCCTAATATTCGGCTATTCGGTCAGGGGCCTCGCCGAATATTCGGTATTCGGTATACTGCCGAATATACTATTCGTTGCAAGTCTAGTAATGAGTATTACAACCCGTATGACGTATGTTATTATCTATGACAGAATTTGTTGTACATTTTTTTTGCTTTTTAGATATCTTTCTATCATATCTATAGCATTTTAGAATAGTCATATACTAGTTTTATGTAAGCTTTAGTAAAAAACTTTATATAAGAATCCAATGACTATAAGATGAAAATCAAATACAAAATATAACCTAATTTTTTTAAAGGTATACAGTATGTATGGTAATGTTATCGTTTTGTTACTTGGTATGACATCATGTATGAAATCATTTTTATCACTTTTATTTTCTTTTCAGATAACACGCAGGCAAAGATATATTATAGTATGATGAATTGGAATTAAACGTTATCGGTCAATACGTTTAATGGTAATACAGATAAGTTAACCCTTATCACCGAATGAACAAACCAGTCAATGAAAGTAGTACTAAATGTCACATGTTGGTTGTGTTTGTAAACGATGTTATCGCACACGCATACATACATAATAATATATGTATAGCTGGCACGATCCACGCGTATTTTAAATTAGTCATACACAGGCCAGGGTCAAGAATCTTGGTAATTTCATACTGACTGACTGCACGGATGGCGTAGTGGTTTATGCGGTCGTCACGCCGCTGAGTGTTGTGGGTCCGATCCCCACAAGGGACGACACTTTGTGCGATCCACTAATTGTTGTTCCGAGTCTGGGTGTTCTTTGTGTCTGTTTCGTGTATGTTTGTAAAGTTCCCCGCGACACAGGATATATTCCTAATGCGGGCGTAGTCGGGCGTAGAAAAAAAAAAGAAAAGAAAGAAAATATTTGTATGCATACATAATTGTTTTTTTTTTTATATTGGTCTGAGTATTTATTTACATTTAATATGTATATTATTTACAAATAGTGTGGCGAATTATGTTTTTCCGTGTTCTAAAATCCACGGTACAAACTATACCTAGTAGTAATTATGTAGATTGAACTACATAATAAAAAATGTATTACATTACACATCACTTCAACAGCCTTACGACATCCCAATGGGTGTCGTAAGGCATCCAATGATGAATAGGGATGGTTACACTTCGTATTCTTAATCCGTCACCACACAAAAAATATGTATTATGGACTCCAACAAATACCACCCATCTCTGTGGTATTTTTTTCTTCAAATTTGTATGGGCCCAAACAGAAAATATTCCTCACAAATAAAAAATATATTTTAAAAGTTAATGACACGGATTTCTGAGGTCACAATAATAAAAAAATCAACTGATTTGAAAACCTTTTTTTTATGCACTGAAAAAGAGCTATATAGTAAGTATGTTCTAAAACATAATACAATTTTAACTACAAACAAATTTTGTTAAATTTACATTAAATGTGATTACCTGTATTGTGTTAACCGCATTCCTGACAAGTGCTATGATAATCGGAGACACCACACATACTAATATCAGTATGCCGGCGCACACAAATTCTGATTTTTGCGCCTCATCAAGACTTTCAGTTACGCCATCCCTTTAAAAAAAAAGGAAACAAATTAGAGAATATGATCATACAATGATGTGATCGGTGGATTACAAAGTTATTTAAAGACAACAATAACTATGCTCATTTTGTTTTTGTTCAAATTGTTCCCACGTTAAATACGAAATTTAGCACAGAGATAGATTATTGTCTGGAATAGCAATTGGACTATTTATCCTGAAAAATGTAGTGTTTCCGTGGGAAGAGCTGTATATTACACTAGCTGACCCGCGCAACTTCGTCTGCGTCTCTCAATAGTAATAAATTTTCTCCGTTTTTGAAACATTCTTCATTGGTGCTCCGCTCCCATTGGTCTTAGCGTGATGATATATAGCCTATAGCCTTCCTCGATAAATGGGCTATCTATCAGTGAAAGAATTTTTCAAATCGGACCAGTAGTTCCTGATATTAGCGCGTTCAAACAAACAAACATACAAATAAACTCTTCAGCTTTATAATATTAGTATAGATGTACAGCTCTCATTTTATATTACAGCAACCAGTTAAAATCCAGTGTGTACATAAATACATGCCTCCTAGCTGAAACCTAACTAATTTTAATAAAATAAATAACGAAGATAGCTAAATAAAAATAAAGGCAGTATTTGATCCAAGTTTATATAGTAAAAAGAGACAACTCGGTTGAGCAAGAGTAATCTTAAAAGCTACAGGATCATAATAAAATGAACATACATTATTATTATTAATTTGATTACTCATTTATTGCAATCCTGAATGAATACCATTTTCCTCGTCTTGGGATATTTTCGTTTACAGCAGCACTCATAAGAGGAAACAACAATATTAACAGATGAATACGTAATAGTAATCAATTATATAAATAATTTATTATATTAAAGTTGCCTGTACCGTTTAACTAAATAATTTGAATCCACCTACGGGTTTAAGTTTATGAATGAAATATCGTTGACTGCATTGGTTATGACGACAATTACCATTCATTGAGAGACTTGGCATGGTGAATAATATACATATATCATGTATTTTAGTTTTAAGAGAGCTGATTAACTGTGATGCAATAACATCGGCAATGTTAGAGTATGAAATATTTTTTTACTAATAACTTGGTTACAGATTAATAAAACTTAAAAAAAAAAGATTATTTTTTCGATAATTTCTCTACGATACTTATATTTTCCATCATCATCATCAACAGTCTTTAAGTAGTCCAATGGCTGGACAAAGGCCTTTCCTTAGAAAGGAGGTTTTCGGCAGTCTGCTCCCAAACTACACAGAGCCTGAGCCATAGAAATCAGACTGCTGATAAACATACTTAAATAGTTCAAAATATATAAATGCACTCTGAATGTAAGCCCGATCATCAGAAATAAAACATGTAATGCTATTTATCTGTTTCCGTCTACAATTAAAGATTTAGTCCTCAGGCAAGTGACTGTGTTCAGTACCACGCAGTTTAGCCTTGATCAGACTTCATTTCATCTCTTAAAAGTTATATTAAAAGATCAGTATTTCTGAAATATAATTAAATACATGCCTATTATAACATCGTATAGATGTTACTATATAATATATCTTCCACAAGTTGCAATGGTGGATTATATTCGCGCATAAAATAAATATATGAATATTGAAAAAAATCTAGGACTAGGTAAAATAACTTCATGAAACAATAAACAAATTAATTATAACTAGTTTTAAATAATAAGCTGCTAAATAGAGTTGTCACTAAAAGAAACAAGTGTTGACGTAGCTTTAATGACGGGAGTAAAATGGTAATATGTTTTTAAATTTATAAGTAGTGTCATTTACCTCAATAAGCATAAATCATGATAAATTTTAATGAACTGTATTCTTCGTCCCCTAGTTTCCCACTCTGATAGTATTTACTTCTATCTAACAGTACTATCTTTTGAGATATGTATAATTTGTGGTTTAACTAGTGTTTAGAGTCACTGTTATATTTTCGCCCTTACCAAGTAGTCTCTTTAATATACAACGTAATTCAATTTTCAAAATTGACTGTGATTTGTTTAATTAATCTAACAATGTTAAATTAAAATTAAGAATGTCTTAACTGTAAGATATTGTAATTATACAATTAGTAAGTTTAATAAATAAACGAAATTTTAAAATCGTTTCACAAATGGAGAAGTTATCGATTACAAAGTACTCGAGAGGTCTTGGAAATCGATTCAAAACCGAATACTTATCGTTTATACGAGTAATGATGCTTAGTATACTCCACTATGCTGACAATTAAATTAAATTATATTTACACTCTTCAATTAATCTTACTAATTGTCACCAGTAGTGGCGGTAGATAATTGATCAATTATTTTAAATGAGTTGCCGTGTCTGGTTGCGGCGGCTCGCACAGGCGCCGTATAATTACGCACTATCTTGATATTAACTGATAATTGAATTTAAGTGTTGTAAAACAAGTTATGTGTTTATAAATACAAAACTATAAAAAAAATATTTGAGAATATCGCTGTCGAATTGTTAATATTTAGAATAGTATCGGGTACCTCTTTTAAAGAATGTATTTTCAAAATTATAAATTTATAATGGGTCTATAAATTAGTAGAGGTCATAACCAACCACCGACAGTTTAAGTTGCGTTGCCAGGTCAACTGATAGTTATTTTATAGTTCCTCAATGTTCCGACAAGTAACGGCGATTGGTGAAGAAGGAATGAACACGGTCTTTTAATACGTACCTATTCTTTTTGTAATTTGTGACAACTTGAGGGTATTGGGGAAAATTCTACAAACCAAGCTCTCAATTTTAGCGTTTAATTAGTTCAAAGTAGCCACAAATCTCCTAAAGGAAAGAATTTATATCACGCTCGTTGTAATATTATTACAAAGAATATCAGCTAAGTAAATCTAATACACAAACTTAAATAAAGTTCATTATAGAGCTGAAATGAAGGAAGTTGATGACGTATGTGTCATAAACTCGACACAACAACTCAATAGTTAAATTTTCAACTAAATTTAATACCTAAAGATAAGAATACTGGAGACACTCATTTACCGCCTAGATTAAAGTAAAATACTATGTTACTTCAGTACTCCTTTTAAGGAACTTACCGTATATATTCTCTTAGCTGTCTTTGAACAGCTCTCAACTTGTCCAAGAAAGTCGCTGTCTGATCAAAGTACTCGATGGCATCCGAAACGCTTCCATCCTGATGCTTGTTGTCCACTATTTGTTGATTCCTTTGAAAATTCAAATTGTTCCATAATTAGCCCTCACTAACAATACTCTATTTAAACTCATTGCAAAGCATACATTATCGTGTAAGACCCAACTCGATAAAAATACAAGGATACACTATGCTTACAACTTAAGGCGAATTAGTAATTTTTAAAATAGAAATCTTATTACATAACTAATAAATCTAGTTTTACTCGTATAATCCAGAAGGCCAGCCTTTTTCTAGCACAGAGATTCAGCGTTGCCATTCAACGCGGCAATGCTACTAGTGTTCTGGTAACGCTACTCGTGAGTGAGGATTTGGAGGAATTTTTTGAAGCTTGTATGTAAATATTGAATATATTTTTTCTCTTGTCATAACATATATACTCCTATTTTAAAATTAAGGCCACATATTGGTAGAATATGTAGTAGTTAAGAATATGTTGTTTCATCAATCATCATCATCATCAACAGCATTTAATAGTCCATTGCTGGACAAAGACCTCTCCTTAGAAATAAGGTTTTATGTTGTTTAGTAATAATATATAAACCTGCAGCAAAAAAGCGTTTTTCAATGAAAAAGGACTAGTCTGGAACTGGTCCAGAATACCCTTCCTCATTTCAGGTAATTTTTCAGCAAAATGTATATCTCATTACTAAATTACCATGCAAGCAGGCAAGCACCAAACTAAGCAGGACAACAGCACTGCAAAGAGAAGGAAAACTTGAAACAAACCCTATAGCAACCCGTCTGGCCAGCGTGGTATAGTAGGCCAAAACCTCCTTTCTAAGGAGAGGCCTATGTCCAGCAGTGGACTAGTATAGGCTGTTGATGTTGATGATTGATGAAATTACCATGAATAAAAGGGCAAAGGATAACCATATATAGTATTAAGTTAATGTCTCATCATCCTCACATTATTCTCCTATACATATGTATTTGGTTTCTAACTGATGGTATGTTGTATAAAACAGAAACATGATTAATATAGAAACACAATATAACGTATAATATAAACGCGAACGTGTCTGCGTTAGTGGTTACGCAGCTATGCCTAAACTATTCAACTGATAATAATGAAATTTTGCATACATATAAGGCAGAACAGAACTAGATATGTGTATCTTTTGTTCAGAAAAAAGTACCGAATTCGAAAGATACCTAAACTGAATAAATCGACATCAGTTGGCAAAAGGCAGATTGCACTAGATATCAGTCAGCAAACGGCAGACTATAAGTTTGTAACAGTAACATTGAAAAAATATGATCTTCCATTGACTTACTTTTTCTCTAAATCCTTATATTCATAGCTGTCTTCTTTGATGTCCTTGTGTAACGGTATCAGGGATGGCACCAGGTTTAGCGTGTTGTCTAAAAGATCTCGACCCAAAACCATGTGGGATATGTACCTGCAGAAGCATCACTGTTTGTAAAAATCTCTGGAAGTTGCATTCTCTCTTTGTGATGGGTATTTAAAAGTACCTACTAGAAAAGTCGATCTTATAGAGAGGGAAACATAATTATTTTTTTAATTAATTAAATTACGTAATAGTCGCTACTGATTGTAGATTTGTTGTTATCGTGTAGAAACTAGTGATGTGATGTATATCTGGATCTGCAAATTTCCGAGAATGACAAAAGGTCTGTTGTGATGTGTCTCCACATCTTTACTTATACGGGCACACATACATACACTAACTCTCATTTACATATATGAGTGAAACATAGTCTTCTGTTTCGTTCTCCGTCGTATTTGCCTATTCGCCGTAAACGGCTCTGTCTAGCCCTTCGGACATAATGCCGAATGACGACTGTAATTTTTGTCTTACTTACGCGATTGAGAGCAAGGCTGTAACTGTCAACTGGCCGCTTGTATATTTCTCAATTATCATACTAAATTATCATCTAAATATATGCACTTAAAGATAAAAGTAAAATAACTAATAAAAAAGGAACGGTTCTATTACATTGAAATTGTAGTTTCATTTTGCTAAAGTAAAAATGGAATTACATAAAGTTAACAGTTACAAATTTTATGAAAAGTTATAAGATACCATTTGACTGTTTTTATAACGAGATCGAACCCATTTAAAAAAAAAAATGTGTATTTGAATTTTTTATCAAACATATATTTAAAAACCAAGCGCAAGGCAATACAAAAACATATTTTTAGTAATTGCCAAGGAAAACTTTAGGACCGCATCCGTAAATGTTGTGTATTAGCATTTTCCGTCCCAAAAATATTATCCTCTGTTTTTTTTAAATAAGAATAACTCGGCACATGTTTTGTTGAATTCATTTGCATTTAATGATTCAATACAGAGAATGAAAGCTTAAAAGCTTTTTTATTACCACTGTTGATTAGAGATTTGGCACGTTTACGTCTGTGAAAAGGAACTTTTTATTGTCTACCACAATTCCTACAATGATTCACCTCGATGAAATAAGGTTGTGTAAAGTAATCAGTTGTGCCAAATAGACGGTTAGTATATAAGTTATAATTAATCAAATATTCACGTGATAAACACTCGCAAATTCTAAACATAATTGACTTTATACGTCGTAATTTTATTTTATTAATTAAATTATGTAAAAGTTGAATTAGCTTAAGTTATAAAACAACTGCGTATAACCTTTGAAAGAAGCGGTGAAAGCTTCGCAGATGGAACTATGGAAATAACTTTAGTCATAAATTGTTCATCATTTTTTTTGTAAGATATAGGAGCAAGCAGCTGGTAACTGGCTCCCACCACCCATAGACACTTGCAACGCAGAAGTCACAAGTTAATTTCAGTGCCATCGCCACAATCAGAAGGCAGAAGGGGCGGGGTATGAGGGGCTGATCCTCCGGTTCCTCAATCACTTGGCAAAATTAAATGATAGAATTGTAAGCAATTAGGTTTTCATGGGGCCGTGGTATCTTGTTATCACTCCACGCCACTAACGCACTTAGCGTGAGGGTCCTAATTAGGACCAGAAAAAGCGCGCGCACGTACTTAATACGTTAATTCGAAAAAATCATAAAATGAAATCTGTCGCTGTACTGATTACAAAAATAGCTGTCTCTTTCACTCTTATGCTTTCCCTATTTCCTATCGCAGTTGTAGCGTATGTTTTATTCTAAAGTGGATTAATAGATGTATGTATTGTGTTACGAAAGAAATATTTTGTGCGTGCAGTATGAATATAACGTATCTTCCTTAAAATATAATTGGCTCCAATCAAGTTGGTTCATATTATGTGCCGAAAAATGGCTCTCCAATTAGATTATTAGGTTACAATTGATCCACTTTATTACTATTTCGATTATAAACTCAATTTATATGCATTTAAGGAAACTTGATAACATTACCTGAAACGTATTACTGATTGCAAGGAGTGTTGAATTGGAGGTTGATAAAAATTTCTTTGAGTTTAAAAAAAACCTAAGGATTTGAAAAAAAACATTAGTAATTAATTTACAATTATTAGTATTAATTTTCAAACTCAGCAACCAATTTGAGCAACCTAATTAATACACGATTGCTGAAATTAAGTTTATTACTTTCGGAATGTGCTTTTCCTGTGCTACACTGTGTATTTATTAATTTAACATACTAATATTGACACTACAACTTACCTCTCATGAGCGCGCGGCTGAAGGTAACCTCTGGCAAAGTAGTTAATACCAAGAACTGAAGCGATCCCTTTGCACTCAATACTACGTAAAAGATTTTTGAAGCCAACCAAGTACCTGAGGAAGAGAATTGAATAGTTGTATAAAATTCCGATTAACAGATGACAAAATATTATAATCATCAACTTCGTACTAAAAATCACTAACAAGATAACAAATGAATGAAATAGTACAAAATTTATTCGTGTCACCACTCCTATTCATCCCGTGAGAGCCGACTAAAGAAACAAACTAAACAGGCTAACAACACTGCAAAGGAAAGAAATACCTCATTTCTAAGGAGAGACTTATGTCCAGCAGGCCAACTTACGAAAGGCTGTTGATATGACAATATCTTATATATAAAATTCTCGTGTCACAATGTTAGTTACCATACTCCTCCGAAACGGCTGGACCGATTTTTATGAAATTTTGTGTGCACATCGGGTAGGTCTGAGAATTGGCCAACATCTATTTTTCATACCCCTAAATGACAAGGGTGACCCACCCCTAAATTTATTTTTTTTGACAACATTTTAATTTTATTAATATGGCGAAACAACGTTTGCTGGGTCAGCTAGTTTCTTTATAAAATTTTTGTGGGATAAATCCGTTATTCCTCGGTTATGTAAACTATACAGTGTTATATTCGATATTCATACTGACTTGTTAAATAAGTTCTGAACAAAAAATCAAAGTCTATGACATGATGTATTTCTAAAATATTTTATATCATAATTTATAACTTGCTGTTATTGCTTGCTTCAAACAGATGTTTACCTTAGTACTATAAAATATCACTAGACTATAATACCTCAATAGATATATTCTGTCACTGATAAGTATAAACAATTTTAGTCTAAAAAGAGAAAAAAATAAATATGATGCAACATTTTAAGGAATATCATGTATGTAGGTTTATTTTCAAAGCAGTGGTTGGAAGACTTAAACAAAAGTGACACTACGCTTGTTGAAATCCTTACAAAGGGACGTTCAAGTATTTCGTAAACATCAAAGATAGTGTATCTGCTTTTTTTGATGATAAAGTGGACGGTGCTTTAAGGGGCGACTATATCAGCAATATTTATTCATTTAATGTTCCTAATTTCTTTGTAAACTTTAGTAGATTCAGACAAGATGAAAATCAAACTAATAGAAAACATGCAAAACCGTTGAACTGATTTTTTTTTAAGAAAGGAGCGTACTCCTTCCTTACAGGCGTAGTAGTTGTAGGCGTTCATGGGCGGCAGTAGTCACTTTCCATCAGGTGACCCGTCTGCCATAAAAAAAAAAGCCCTGATGAACGCCCTCAGCACTACGTAAGTCTGTACTCACACTTTACAGTCTTTTCATTTCATACATAGTTTATAATAATACCACACAGTAACTGATGTGTGCAAATACTCCCCAAGGTGATTTTTTAACACGTCATCGAGGTTATCAGTATCTCGAAATTGTAGACATTTAAATATTCTAAGTGCTGCATAAAAAGGAACTCAGAACGTTTTTTTTATAAAATATAACTCCCTCACAAGGAATATATTTTGTATCGCGGGGGACTTTACAGACATACAGACACAAAGAACACACAGACTCAAAACAACAATTTCTGGATCACACAAAGTGTTGTCCCATGGGGGGATCGAGCCCACAACACTCAGAGCAGTTAGAAGAGGCGCGCTTAATTCACTACGAGTACGCCGTGGAGTATGTATTAATCTATGAGTTCAGTAAAATTGTACCCTACTATTAGTGACGCATTGTTTGACCATCAACTTAGGATTATAATCTTTTTGGTTTCCCATTGCGAGCTGCGGTTTAATGACGTTCAAAATTAAGGACATCCTTATATGGTCAAGGGGTATCTAGTAACTTGCTTTTGTTATAAGAAATGTTGACAAATAAAAGTTATGCTATGCGTTGTCTCTACGCCTGATCTATTTTTTTCCACGAAAGGCATAATACAGTGGGCCGTTACCACAAATTACAAAAGGTTAGTAGGCATAAACATGGTTGCTTTTTGCTTTGCCTTGCCTTACTGGAATACCCTGATTATTCCTGGTTCTGGATTCAGTAGCTGTAGCAAAACTAAAACAGTACTTTTCCTTGATAAGTGCATCATTTGAGAGCGACTAGACTGGTATGTCTAAAAAATTATAACAAACTTACGAACTAGGTCGTTATACAAAAATATTTTAAAACAATAAATAACCGTCAAGCTGATTGACAAACGGGCGATTTTTTTATAATTTTTATATACCTAGCGACACACAGTTAAGAAATTTCACCTAAAGAAATGTTATTCACTCATATCTAAGACTTGCGGTAAGTACTTCTTGCTCCAGCCCCTTTACCCTATCCATTTCCTGAGCCAAATATACCGTCTTCCTTAAGCCCCTCTGAATACGATAATATTCCCAAGGAGGGATGGCATCTGGCAAGTAGCCCTCCATAAAAGGAACCAGTCAAAACCCTACGCAGTGTTACTCATTGCGCCGACCCCATATAAATGGTTTAGCGATTTTAGCGAGAAAACGCGAGAGTAATATTTTTATCAGAAAAAAACTGCTATTCGTGTAATTTAAATATTGGTAGAAAATAGTATTACATGGTAATCAACAAAATGAAATGATTTGAATGCGAAAACATATCTCATTGTTTTAGTAATGTAGTAATTGTGTCATGTGTAAACACAATCAAATATACGTTTTACGTTCCAATTGAAAAAAAAACAATATAAATGTTAATTTTTTGCATGTTTGTTTTAATAAAAATAAATTTATCGAGCCGTAGTGATTTATGTGCGTTTCGAGATGAACGGTGATGTAGATTTGAAATAATTTACAATGTTAACGTTAAAGGATGTATATTTACTGCATTTTAAGCGTATAAACTACCAGCTTTACGTTCCCTATTAAGTTATTCTCTTATGCTTTATCAACGGTTTTTTTTTCATCATCATCATCAACAGCCTTTACTAGTCCACTGCTGTACATATACCTCTCCTCAGAAAGGAGGTTTTGGCCCACTGGACCACGCTGGCTAGACGGAATGGTATAGGGTTTGTTTCAAGTTTTCCTTCTCTTTGCAGTGTTGTTGTTCTGCGTAGTTTACTCCCTTAGTCGGCTCTTACGACAGCCCCGGGATGAATAGGGTGGTGACACTCTGTATTCTTAATCCGTCACCACACGGTTTTTTTACTGTAAGTTTATTGAAATGAGCTATACGACAAATGTTTATAAATAAAAACAATCTGTCTCCAATGTTAAAGCTACTTGTGTATTTTTTTATCCTGGGACAGATCAGAGCCTATTAAGAAATGGTACAGTTAGTTAAAGTGATGCCTAAGATCGGTGATGAGACTAACAGAGATTTAATGGGAGATGGTAAAGGTGGTTGTATAACATATGTGCTACATCTAGCATGGGAAGACGTTATTGTAAATTGGTAACGAAATTAAAAAAAAACACTTGTATAAGAATCACAATGTAAGTGGCTTCGGATTTTATAGAAAGAATCAAGACAAGTTACAACATGCCAAAATTTTCCAATTAAAGATACATTATATCTTTTTGAGTGATGATGACGTCACACTTTTTTTTTTAATTCTACAACTCTGTGTCATTCTGTTACAACATATACCTAATTATTCCAGGAACGTGATTGCAAAGACAATATACCATGGTGACACATTCTAATTAAGAAATATTGATAGTGATGATTCATAATACTTTATGGGATACCATCATCGAACATTTTAATTTACTTCATTTAAGTTTAAAAAATGGTACATGATAAACGCTTTAGATGACTTTTAATTGAAAGTTACACAAAAAAGTTTTACATTTCATAAACTTAACGTTCAACTAGTAATTTAGTATTTATAATAATAAAATCCTTAGAAAAAAGTTAAACCGACCTGGAAACAATAATAACAAAGAGCACTAAAAACTCTTCGAAATTCATCATCAGATCTATATGGTATTTAAATGGGAAAAAAATATTTTGAAAATCCGTCTATATATGACGGAGTTATGATAGAACATACATTCAACACACCTCAACCGCAAAGCCTGCTAGTAGCCCAGCTAAAGACCCTAGAGCAAGGCTAACCCGACATTATACCGAAGATATCCCGGACATCAGCCAGTACGAGATTGGGATGGCTCTGAAACAGCTTAAGAATAACAAGGCACCGGGCGATGACGGAATCACATCTGAGCTTCTGAGAGCGGGTGGCAAACCGGTACTCAAGGTCCTCCAGAAGCTCTTCAATTCTGTCTTGCTCGAGGGACACACGCCAGAGTCATGGAACAGGGGTGTGGTGGTACTTTTCTTCAAGAAGGGCGATAATACCTTATTGAAGAACTACAGGCCCATCACACTGCTGAGCCATGTCTACAAGCTGTTTTCAAGAGTCATCACGAATCGTCTCCAACGTCGGTTTGATGACTTCCAGCCTCCCGAACAAGCCGGTTTCCGAAAAGGCTTTAGTACCATAGACCACATACATACGCTGCGGCAGATTATACAGAAGACCGAGGAGTACAATCGGCCACTATGCTTAGCGTTTGTGGACTATGAGAAAGCCTTCCATTCGATCGAAACTTGGGCAGTCTTTAGGTCTCTCCAGCGGAGCCGTATTGACTATCGGTACATCGAGGTATTGAAGTGTTTGTTTAATAACGCCAATATGTCAGTTCGAGTACAGGACCAATACACGAAGGCAATTCCATTACAGAGAGGGGTAAGACAGGGAGACGTTATTTCTCCGAAACTGTTTACCGCTGCTCTGGAAGATGCCTTCAAGCTCCTGGAATGGAAAGAACTTGCCATCAATATCAATGGCGAATACATCACTCACCTTCGATTTGCCGACGACATCGTAGTCATGGCAGAATCGCTGGAAGACCTGGGACAAATGCTCGCTGACCTCGACGGAGTTTCTCAACAGATCGGCCTTAAAATGAACATGGACAAGACGAAAGTCATGTCGAATGTCCATGTCGCGCCGACTCCCATAGTCGTGGGAAACTCTGTCCTCGAAGTTGTTGATGAATATGTCTACCTAGGACAAACGGTCCAATTAGGTAAGTCCAACTTCGAGAAAGAGGTCAATCGTCGAATCCGACTCGGCTGGGCAGCGTTCAGGAAATTAAGAAACGTCTTCACGTCCAAAATACCTCAGTGCCTAAAGACGAAATGCTTCAACCAGTGTGTGTTACCAGTGATGGCCTACGGAACTGAGACGTGGTCTCTTACTATGGGCCTAATCAGAAAGCTCAGAGTCGCTCAGCGTGCTATGGAAAGGGCTATGCTTGGCGTCTCCCTGCGTGATCGAATCCGCAACGAGGAGATCCGCAGGAGAACAAAGGTGGTCGACATAGCCCAACGGATTAGCGCGCTCAAGTGGCAATGGGCAGGGCACATAGCAAGGAGAACTGACGGCCGATGGGGCAGCAAGGTTCTCCAATGGAGACCACGTACTGGAAAGCGCAGTGTGGGACGACCGCTTACCCGATGGACGGACGACCTGGTAAAGGTTGCCGGAAACCGTTGGATGCAGGCCGCAACGAACCGTCCCCGCTGGAAATCATTGGGAGAGGCCTATGTCCAGCAGTGGACAAGCATAGGCTGAGGTAAGTATACATTCAAAAAATATTCCACACTTTGTGTGATCCACAAATTGTTGTTATGGGTCTGGTTGTTCTTTGTATCCGTTTCAGGTATGTTTGTAAATTCCCCCGTGCCACAGGATATATTTCTAATGCGGGAGTTGTCTTAAAAGAAGGTATACGCTATGCTAAACAGAATTCTGATAAACATAGTTACCTATATATTTCCAAATAATGGGACTAATCCCACCCACACGCCCACCACTGTAACTCCTGTACACCAGGATCCACAGCAGTGACCCACGAACACACCGAGTTATGACACTCGGGAAGTCCCAGGAAGAAATTAAACTGTCTTGGAACCCGCAACGAAATTAATCAGAAGAAAATTGGAGGAGTTGGAAATACAGTAAATCCACTTCCCTCCTTAGCAAAGCGGGAGACAAAATGAAGTAAAAAGGGCATACACCCTTTTAAACAGGGAAGCACCACGGCCACAAATATTACGGGTCCTACGTGAGCTATGTTTGATTTCTATAATATGTATGGCAGAATCGCCTAAACGCACGGAAATTCACCCTAGTTGACACAAGATCCCCATAGTATACCGCCCCAGATGTCACCTGCAAGCTATTCAGCATTATATTACGTTCATTATACCAAAGACTACATTCCCAGAGGATATGATGAGCAGACTGTTCATAGTGAGAGTTAGGTGTTGAGCATTGACACAATGGTGACTCGACTAATTTAAACGAATAAAGCTTGCTCTTAAAGTTACCATGACCCGTAAGAAATTGAGCGACACAGTGATCCACCTCAAGCCATATCCTCGACAACCGTTCGCGAACAGATGGAAAGAATTGGTAAAGATGGCGCCCCTTGGATGATTCATCCCAGCGTTGTTGCCATTCGTCTATGAGGTCATTATAGACATCGGGCTGCTGTTGAAGCAATCTTGTAATTTTACCGCGATCCCGCGCGCCCAAAAAATCGCATTCCATGTTTTGTTGTCTTGAATAGTACATGGCTGCACGTCTCTGCACCTCGAGATCGACCGGAAGCACACCCGCCAACACCGGCAAAGCCTCAGTGCCAACCGTCCTATATGCCTTACACAAGAATATCAGTGCAAGTCGTTGGCCTTGTAACAGTTTGCGACGGACAGCGCCTACGGTCGCCCTATCGGCCCATACAGGTGCACCATAGCACATAGAACCTAAATAAGTAGCTTCGTATATGATCTTTAATGTATTAAATGATAGACCCCATGTCGCAGTTGATATCCTTGTCAATGCACAGAAACTCTTTTTAGACTTTTCATTAACTATTTTAATATGTTCGATAAATGAAAAGTTTCTTTCTAAAACTAATCCTAGATAACACACTGTAGTTTTATTTTTTACAGTAACATTGTCAAATCTAATGCTCGGCGGTGATTTGAGGTTACCTTTTAAAAGTAGCTGGAAGGTTTTGTTGGGTGCAAAAGTTAAGCGATTACGTT